AAATATTAGTAAATATATCTTTAATATTAGTTTATTAGACAAACACTTCAGTCAGTAAGATATCTGTAAATATTTCATCAATATTAGTTCATTAGACAAACACTTCAGTCAGTAAAATATTAAGTAAATATTTCTTCAATATTAGTTTATTAGAGAAACACTCCTTCAAAACAGAAAAGGTTCTTATGTTGTAAAACACTTTATTTAAACTGGTGAAAGATCTGAACATAATGAGTTATTTATATGTAGCTGGAACAGGTAGCGAAATACTCTAGTAATAAAAAGACTGGCAGCGAAATGTCTGGGAATGAAATGTTCAGTAGCGAACTGTCCTAGAACCCTAATTTTAGACGTGTAGCATTTTTTAATTATTTTAGACACAAAAAAACATCAGCCCCACCTGTTTTAAAGAAACGATGACCTCTCATGCAGATGAACAATCCCACAGCAGCTAAAATAACTGCAAAAACCTTAGCGAATGGTTGACCTGAAAGAACAAAAGAGTAAGGTGACATTATCAACTGTTCAATGGTTGCATAGAACTGAATGATCAGCAACAAACAATTAATCATAGAACCTGTATTTCATTCTGTTTTACTTGTAGTAAATTGTTTGTACATCTAAAAAAATATATATAAATCGATCATCAAGCATAATTGACATCATTAAAAAAAACAAGGCATGAACTCTCCCCACCCCACCCCCCCAAAAAAAAGAGAGAAAGAAAGAGATAATTAATCATCCTTGTCAGAAACCATTAATATTAGGCCTATTATTTGTTATAAATATAACAGGCCTAATAATAATTCTTATCACAAGTATAATTAATTATAATTATGCTTCCCCAGATCAGAAAAGTCATTCACAACATAGTAATTGTTATCTAGCAAATGGCTTACGTAAATAGTATTGAACATTACTAAGTTGATTGTATCCCAGCCAGCCTGGTGAGCCCTGTATCGAGTGAAACATGTCGTCAGAAACGGATATGGTGAACACAGTGTGGTTGAAATACTATCATACACCCTTCTTCTTGAGAAAAACCATTAAGAGGCTGAATAAACAATTTAGTGTTAAAAATATGTCTAATACTAATGTCTTATGACAAGTACAAGTAATTATAATCATAATTTGCTAGCTAGAAACGGAGCTCACATTGTACCAAAAGATAGTTTTTGAATCACTGAAAAAAAAACTGCTTTGTTGTACTAGTGAACCCATAAGATAAAATATATCATCAAAAAACTTTTTTCTATTAAAATGAAAACCTGGTCATCTATAAAGCACTAAAAGTATTATAAAACCTTAAAATTACCCTCCCCTTCCCCAACCATCAGAGTCTGGCACTGTTTTGGTCAAAGGAAATGATCTGATGATAAGTACCAGGAATTTCTAAGAACAAATTTGGAAATTTGATCCACCAGATTGTTTTATAGAAAACTATACTAAGATCAGAATGATGATATGAAAATTTTAATACTACTTGCTGGCAACTTAAAAAAAATGACCAAACCTGTGTCATGTTTGTACATGGGAAGTTATTTCAGTTTTATTTCCCAACTAGATTATAAATAGGTCAAATGAGAGTTCTGGATCATAAGTCTGCCAAACTGAGTGTTTTGTCTGCTTGAAGATCAGGCTTCAAAACTGGTAGTGTGTCTGTCTATGAAACAAACTGAGTGTTTTGTCTGCTTGGAGACCAGGCTTCAAAACTGGTAGTGTCTGTCTGTGAAATTCCAAAACTGGAAACTGCAAAAGGATGTTTTGGCTACTTGGAGACCCGACCCCAAAACTGTTGGGAGGGAGGGGGTATGAGGTTAGAAAATATGGTTTTAGCTGAATGAGGATCACTTTTTAGCTGCTTGTATGAACTTCTCATAGTGAGGACTTGCTTCTCAATCTCTTGAAAGCTCTGCTATAACTCACCTTTAAAAAAGTATTAGGTGTATAGAGGACCACATGAAAAAAAGGTTGTAAAACGTAAACATTTAGACTGAAACACTCAAATTAAATTGCTACAAACCCTCATCCAGTTATTCAAAATATTCCGGAGGTTATATGGTGTTTAAAATGGGGTTTTTCCTTTTAATATTATTCATCACTGATGTGCCTCAAGCCACAGATCCCTGTTTAGAAAATATAATTGTTTTTGTCTTACTTAACTGTCCACATCCATCGACTTCTGAAAGAAAGCTACACCCATATGTTGAAGAGGGAACGTAGGCAGCTTCATACGTGACGTCATTCTTTCGATATTGGACAATCAAGCTGTATATCACTCCTTGTCCTGGGTAAGACAGGAATAGGGCTCTCGTTGTGGGTTTCTGACCGAAAGGTTGAACCTACAATGTTAGACCATTTTTTTATACTCCAATATCACAACAAACTTGAAATTTGAATTCAATCGCATCACACGTACTAACGAATAATGTCATCTAGCCGAAATCTGCAAAACATTTGCTGTTAAATTAGTATCTTTATTGCAACAGTACTTCTTTGAATACAGGATTTCTAGAATAACAATTCTAATCACAAACAGCGAAATCTATAAGTCCACTTGCCTTAGGTCTAACATTAGTTAAGCCTTTATTAACATAATTAAGTACAGCCTGTATTCGATAAAAAGACCAATTATTAAATGAATGCTGTAACATGTGCACGTTTTTTGCATTAGTTTAGTTAGGGTTAAACTTTACCATACTTAATACAGTCAATAAATAAACTTTGCAGAGCTCTTGAGTAGCATCAATCAGTTATCTTGTGCTATTAATTTTATGCTAAAAATGTGATTGATACATAACTTAAATAAAACTGATAATAATTAAGTTTCACTTGTCTAATCTAATTCACACCATAACAGACCTGGCTCACGAGAAGATATATATATATATATATATATCATATCCTACACTACTACTACTACGTCTGTAATATCAAAGCTCACCTGATGAGTCCTGGAACTGGGCGATGGACTCCATTGACACTGTATATGATTAGTGTGGTTTAAATATTATAATATATTCTTCTCTGCCTTCAGTCATAAATTTTTAGAATTACACTGATTCAACATACTAAAGTTTACAAACATTTAAAGGAAACATGTTTGTTTTGTTTGTAGTTAAGCACAAAGCTACACAATAGGTATCAAAGCCGGTTTCTAGCGATGTAAGTCCGCAGACATACCGCTGTGGGGCAGAAACATCTTTCTTGATGATGGTTATAGTGATGTATAGTGGGCATATCTAAAGTGACTCAAAATTCAACATGCTAATTCTTACAAATATACCAAAGATACATGGTTCTTGATGCTGGTTATAGTGATGTATGGTGGGCATATCTAAAGTGACTCACAAATTCAACATACAAATTCTTACAAATATACCAAGGAAACATGTTTCTTGATGCTGGTTATAGTTATGTATGGTGGACATATCTAAAGTGACTCAAAATTCAACATGCTAATTCTTACAAATATACCAAAGAAACATGTTTCTTGATGCTGGTTATAGTGATATATGGTGGGCGTATCTAAAGTGACTTAAAACTGAACATACTAATTCTTACAAATATACCAAGGAAACATGTTTCTTGATGCTGGTTATAGTGATGTATAGTGGGCATATCTAAAGTGACTTAAGGTTATAGTGATGTATAGTGGGC